AAATATGTTCACCCCACATCGATCCCCGAAGGCATCACCTACATCGACCTTGCAATCGACGCACTCCCCAAGTTGGCTCGAGTGCCAACAAGACCACTCACCACCGATCCTGAAAAAACAGAGAAGATGGCGTGCCAAGCGCAGCCGAGTACTGAACAACAGACCAGCGATCTGGCTGGATGTCGTGGCGGTGCTGGATGACATCGCAACCAAATGTCTGTCGTGGACAGCGGCCCCTCGGGCTGACCAATCGCAGCAAACAAGTACCTGAGAAAGAAACCCTCCCAGACGCATGAGCAGACACTTGGACAGGGAAGCCGGAGCTGGAGTCCCAAACTGTCACTGAATGGATGAGTTCGGCAAAACTTGACATCGCCGTCCCTCCGCAAACAGGCCCCATGGGATAGAGAGCTGTACACCGACGACCCAAATGTCCCGGTTGGCAAAGCCAACACCCAGTGCCAGAGCCCAAAAGGGACGCTAAGGCAAAGTCTTTAATAAAGACCCACCTATTGACTGGACCAACCATGCTTGGATGATAAGGTTATTCCAATATGCTATATGAATACAGCAATGCTTGACGCCGCAAACGCAGCCATGAGCCACTCATTCGACACCACAACCACTGCCATCAGCATTTCATTCGACACCGCAACCACGGCAATCATTGCTACCACTGTTACCACGGCAACCACGGCAACCACGGCAACCACGGCAACTACGGCAACTACGGCAACTACGGCAACTACGGCAACTACGGCAACTACGGCAACTACGGCAACCACTGCAATTCATTGCTGTCCGCTCAAAGCCAAAATGCGCTGTGTACTTTAACCCATTCTCCCGCGCAAGTGATCAACTCTGTCTACAATGCGACATCAGTATATACCGAATAAATAAACACCCCATTTCTGCTCACGGATGCCTTCTCCACTTGCCCACAGGGAGCGGCCGAGCCGACACAGCTTTGCGACCACTCTTCGGCCGCAGGCACAAGCTGCCATTTTTCGAAGCTGAACATTGATCCGTAAATCCGACGAGAATACTGCGCATTACACAGACACATATTTCCGCGCCCGCTTCAGCCACGTAGTAAATTGTACAACTTCGATTGAAGATTATACATGGTCAATATCTGGGAAAGGACATCCAGAGTGTAAAATCGCATGTACTTCGTTTGTCCATCCGTTTGGCCATCCGCTTGACCATCCGCTTGGCCATCCGCTTGATCATCCGTTACCTGTCCCCAGACGCGAGATGTGATGGAGCCGATCGATATCAACCATGCACGTATGATCACCCAGGTCAGCACTCCATATCAATCATACAATCGTACAAGGGCGATCTTGTTATGAACCAACGTTGGCGGGAACATATCCGGCGCGCCCTGAACCGCGCGCGCCACGACAGGATATCTTCCTATAAAGCCCATGCTCACCCCAAACCAGTATTACTCCTTGTTCGAGGATATTCTTGTTCCTTCATCATAATATATCTCTTCACGTATACAGGCTTGCTGTTTCTCCCTAATCTTCCCTAACAGATCTCCCGCAATGTCCCGATATCTTGTTGACCGTATGGTGCTTTGTTTGAGGGATAACTTTGAACAGAGACACCTCAAACGAATAGCGGCCACGCCTCGAATGAGCTGCGGTGGATATTCAATTCCGAAATCACATCTAAAGATATGATTTCTCAGGTCTTGTAGTACTTGACTGGACATGAGATACTTGACATGGTCGCTCCTTTGCAAACGGATCTTTCGAAATGGCAACCGTGGTGAAGACAATAAGATATCACATTTGGAGCCTCCAAAAGCCAACACCAGTGACTCAGAGGCAAGTGAGTCGTTGATATACAGACGCGAATGTCGAGAGCAAATCCCTTATATTATCCAAAGTTCGGTTTTTGGAGGCCAGCGTTGACAGGGATGCATTATTATCATGCGAAGAATAAATGGATCCAGAGCCATAAGTTGAAACGATCGCTACCCATCTGGCACTGTGACCATGTTGAATTGGGCAACATGCCGCAAATTTCGGCCTTTGGTGGATAGCAGTGGTTGCAGTGGTTGCAATGGTAGCAATGGTAGCAGTGGTTGCAGTGGTTGCAGTGGTTGCAATGATTGCCGTGGTAGCAGTGGTAGCAGTGGTAGCAGTGGTAGCAGTGGTAGCAGTGGTTGCCGTGGTTTCAGTGGTTGCGGTGTCGAATGAAATGCTGATGGCAGTGGTTGTGGTGTCGAAAGAATAGCTGGTGGCTGCGTTTGCGGCGTCAAGCATTACTGTATTCATATAGCATATTGGAATAACCTTATCATTCAAGCATGGTTGGTCCAGTGGTAGAATTGCCGCCTGCCACGCGGCAGACCCGGGTTCGATTCCCGGACCATGCACTTTTTGTCTCGCCGTATTGTGATTCTGACTCTGATTCCGATTGTCGGTCTTGTCATGTCATACCAACATTTAAGTGTGTGTCCTCCATCACACCTGTTCCTCACTCGTCCGTGCGCATTATTTCTTTTATTTGGAAGGCTGTGATGTCGCTCGGCCGTCGTACCCATCGATACTGCCCGAGGCAATACGGAGGGCCTGTTGATATCGTCACCTGATTGGGCTTGTCAGCGTGTTTCAATAGTCCTATGAACGAGAATGACCACTCCTCCAACACGAATACGGCGTTCAAATAGATTCTTTTGGAACAAGCGATGACGGTAAAGCTTGTCTCACACTTTCAGCGCGCATGATTTGCTCGGCAGAGCTACGGATAAATCCGGCTGTGGTTGCTGGGAAATTTATCGGCATGATCTGACTCGCTCACAACTTGCGGCGCAAATATTGGAGCATGGAACAGCCGGACCATATGAGGCTCCTTGGAACCGCTATCCCTGGATGACTCGGCGCTAGGCCAAGTAAATACTCCATTTTGACGACCAGGTGCCGCCATTGTGTTTCGCAGCGTGGCACGAATAGAATTACAATATATATATAAACAGCAATTCAAATGTCGAGGGTGGAGATTAGCGCTGGGCAGTATGATGCGGCGGTGATGGAGCGGCATGGCGGTTGAGGTTGATAAATTTGCCATTATGATCTCAATTTTTTTCGACCTTTCCAAGAAATCGGCCGCATGGCCAAATGGATAAGGCGCTTGACTACGAATCAAGAGATTCCAGGTTCGACCCCTGGTGTGGTCGTTATTTTGCTCTTGTTTTTGGACATCTGCTGTTCCGTGGCTCAGGTCATGGCCTCCTGTTGACTTTTGAGAGCCCGCCCGGGACGTGTGATTTTTCGGCTATTGATTATGACTGGCATGGGGAATGGGGCGTGGCACCGAACCTCGAACTGGGGGGGGGGATAGTTTTATTTTAGCTTGCTTGTAATTTTCTCTATTCAAGCTGAGGGACATCTATACCTCGTCTGTGCTTGCAAATCACAGTCGTGAAGGTATGATAAATGTCAATCAGCCACACAAGTACAAGCTTGTCGCTTTCCATCGTGCTCGGCTTGACTCTGCTCCTGTCGTCTCGGACGTTTCCGTCCACCATTGATGATGACGAGTAACCCGAACACTCTTCCAAGTGTCCTCAACAATGTTTTGACATTCGGTGTTGTCGATCGGATATCTGCATCTCACGTCGTTCGTTGTAACCGATCGCAGCAGCCAGTCGCAGTCGTCAGGTCGAGCAGCTTGTCGACTGTCCCGACGCTTTCGTGATTGCTCTTGTTCCAGCCGGGATATCCGAGTTTCGGATCTTCGACGAAACATTCACCTGTTGCATTCAATCATCCCCATCAACACAGCTCGGGGAGTGGTCGAGGCTCAGCGATGCAAAGATCTCCTCGACCTTGGTGCACTGCTTGCAGGGTCTGTACATTCCCTATGGATGGTCAGAGCGGTGCCTGTACTCAACTCGCTATCATGCTGCAGTAGCACCTCTCCACTTTTGATCCTCGCTCGACCCACAGTGCTACCGCCTGCCGCTTGCTGAGGATCTCGAGGATCAGTCCATTCTCCATCGTAGGTCGGATGAGCGTCTTGATGGTCCTCGTTAGAGTCTTGTCTGATGGCCTCGAGGCACCGGAACTCTTTGGCCATTCACATTTCCATGCCATCAGGTTTCCCTGCCATCAGTGTTTCTCTACCATCAGTATTTCCCTGCCATCCGTATTTCCCTGCCAACACAAGCACACCTTGATGTTCTTCTCTGGAGGTTGCGCGACGGGTTTTGATGCAGTCTTGATTGTGGGTGAGCATACGGACTCGGTGTGATCATGCATATGATATGGGCAGAGTACTTTGTGGATCATTCGGGCAGTAGCTTCCCCAAAGCTGACATGCGGCTGTGTGCATTGTATTTGTGCTTGGTTCGCACATCAAGGCAATGATGTCGTCCATCGACAACCACTCACTCACCACTCGCTCACTACTCACCACGTCCAGACCAGCTGAGTCCAGTTGGGCACATCGGAAGATCTGTGTATCTCCTCTGTGTCGCTGTCTCGATTCCCAACCCCATCTCTGTCTCGGCATTGGATCTGTGGGCCCTGATGGTGATCATCATGACAGTTGTCGATGGAGGACGGCGTTGCATGTCTGAGTGTGAGTTGCCGCCAAACCAATCGATATCTAACGCTGGTGGTAATGACAGATGCTGGATGTGTGGGAATGCGGGTGACAAGCATTGGTTGACTGGCACTCGATCCATGGATCCAATGCGATCCTGGTTTCGTGACTGTGCCACTCTCATTCCATTCCACCCATCTCGCCTGGACATCATCACTGCACTCTCCTCACATCCTAGTCTGTTGCATCATTCAGCCAACATGGCTCACCCGGCCATCGATGAACACTACCCAGATAGATTCACCATCATATGCTGCAACGACGGTTTCCAGCTTGCCCTCGACCACAACACCATCAAGATCCTGCTCAGAGTATGCAAACGAGCCCGACCCCTCCTGAGCTCCAAGATGCCTCGCTTCCACCGCTGGTGTCAGAGCATGGAGCTACTCAATCTGGAAGGACACCTGCGAATCGGTCTCACACCGAGCGACCAGATCGCCCTCTCGCTACACTTCGAGGATCAGGCTGCAGCCGACCGATCCTGGCTCGTTGCTCAAGCAGACCAAGGAAACGCACCGGTCTCGTATCTCCTTGCTCGGGTGTTGCAATCTGAGAACGACACAGAAGCAGACGATGACGATGAGCTTGAAGAGAATGCCAAGCATCAGCAAATCTTCCACCATCTGAAGCGGGCAGCCAAGGCAAGCCATTCCATGGCCCAGTTCCATCTTGCAGAATGCTATCTCAACGGTCGCGGCGTCAAACAAGACTTCACCAAGGCCGTGGAACTGTATCGCAGACTTGCAGATCACGGAATATCTCAGGCTCAAATTGCCCTCGGTGGATGCTATGAGAATGGTGAAGGTGTCGATCAAGAGTATAACACAGCCATCGAGTGGTACTCAAAGGCTGCCGACCAAGGCAGTGAAGACGGCCGGCACCATATCGTGTTCCTCCAAGGGTGGCTCTCGTTCATCGGCCATGATGTCGAACAGAGCGAAGTTAATGCGCTCAACCACTGGCAGGAAGTCAGCACCCAGTCCACCGATCCGATCATCAAACCCATCGCAACTCACATGGTCGGATGGATGCACTACCTTGGCCGAGGAACCGTACGCGACGAGCCAAGGGGTGTCAGGATCATCCGAGAGAACAAGTCGGACCGTTTCAAGCTCGGAGAGTCCGAGAGTCTGGCTGCATACGGTGATGCCAACTCCACCTCGCCCGTTGCCCGCAAGCTCTTCCAGTTTTGCCAGTTGGGATCAGATCGTGACTGGCTCTGCAAGCACTTCATGGCTCTGTGTCTGCACCATGGTTTCGGCACTACCCAGGACCGGATGAAGGCAGCTTGTGTCTTTGAGCAGCTCGCCAACGACGGCCACAGCGACAGCCAGTTGCGGATCGGAAAATACCTCCACTGGGGCCTGGGAGTATTGGAGGACCGAATTACGGCATTCGAGTGGTACAGCAAATCGGCCGACCAAGGCAATTCGTACGGGCAGTGGATGACTGGTGTATGCTACTACTGGGGATACGGAGTAACCAAGGACTTTGCCAAAGCATTCGAGTGGTATCGCAGATCGGCCGAGCAGGGAAATCGATACGGACAAGATTCTATCGGTAGATGCTACAAACATGGCGAAGGGGTACCTGAAGACATCGACACTGCCGTCCTCTGGTACCACAAGTCCGCCGACCAGGGACACAAAAACGCCATCGAGAGACTCAAGGAGCTCGGCGAGTGGCATTGATCCCCGATTTCACATGAGTGCATCATATCCAAACAAAAAAGCTGCAACAATGCAGAGGTAATCAGAACAGTCAAGTAACCAGGATGTCAACACCCATCCCAGTCACGGAGACGTCAAACAGTGTTTTAGAGCGTGGTTCCAATGAAGCAACGATCGCTGAGTGATGTTATGTTTTATATTCAATACCTTCACTCCACAAGCCCGTGGTGTCCCATCACAACCTTACGCTGACGGACCCGTGGAGACATCGAATGATCCGACAACGACAAAATCCGCAATCAGATATTTTGAGAATGTCCCGTACTTTGGCTTCCCATGACCCAGCCGAACGAATCCCCGAGCGGGACCTGGAGACATGCTTGTCCCTCTACACCCTCTCAAAAGCAGTACGCCCCCCCCCGAATGGCTCGCCGTATGAACTGAAGAGTTGACGAGAGCCACAACAGGGGTGCATGGGCATGCTTGTTCACCCACTGCTGGGCAAAATACGGAACTGATGGCTGGCTGTCTTAAATCCATACAACTATCATAAACAGCAGATATCCAAACCGATCCCGAGTGTGGGAAGACGCCTCATGACTGCCACGAGGAGATCGGTATTCACTGGGAAATCTCAACAGACTCGAGCTGATGGAAAATGGAAAATACAGGGTCTATCCGAGTCGATCGAGACTGGTTTGTGCAAAAGTGTTGCCCTGTGCAGCTGCCTTTTGATACCAGTATCGGGCAGTGCCGATGTTCTTGGTGGCACCCTTGCCGTCACGGTAGCAGTCGCCGAGCCAGTCCTGCGCACTTGCATTCCCCTGATTTGCGGCCTTGGTGAACCACTCGACAGCTTTCGCATAGTTTTGGGTGGCACCTTCGCCTTTGTAGTAGCAGACACCGAGGCTGAATTGGGCATTTGTACTCCCCTGGTTGGCGGCTTTCGTATACCACTCGACAGCCTTGGCATAGTCCTGGGTGACGCCTTGACCATTACGGTAACAGACGCCGAGGTTGAACTGGGCACTTGCATTCCCCTGATTGGCCGCCTTGGTGTACCACTCGGCAGCCTTACCATAATCCTGGGTGACACCTTGACCGTTGTCATAGCAGAGACCGAGCCAGTTCTGAGCACCAGCATTCCCCTGGTTGGCTGCTTTCGTATACCACTCGACAGCCTTGGCATAATTCTGGATGACACCTTCACCTTTGCAGTAGCGGATACCGAGGCTGAGTTGAGCATTTGCATTCCCCTGGTTGGCGGCCTTGGTATACCACTCGACAGCCTTGGCATAGTCTTCGGTAACGCCATTGCCGTTGTAGTAGCAGTCGCCGAGCCAGTCCTGGGCATTAGCATAGCCCTGATTTGCGGCCTTAGTGAACCACTCGACAGCCTTCACATAGTTCTGAGTGACACCTTCGCCTTTGTAGTAGCGGATACCGAGGCCGAATTGAGCATTTGCATTCCCCTGGTTGGCGGCCTTGGTATACCACTCGACAGCCTTGGCATGGTCTTCGGTAACGCCATTGCCGTTGTAGTAGCAGTCGCCGAGCCAGTCCTGGGCACTTGCATTCCCCTGATTTGCGGCCTTGGTGAACCACTCGACAGCTTTCGCATAGTTCTGGGTGGCACCGTCACCTTTGTAGTAGCGGACACCGAGGCTGAATTGGGCATTTGTACTACCCTGGTTGGCGGCCTTGGTGAACCACTCGACAGCCCTGGCATAGTCCTGGGTGACACCTTGACCGCTAAAATAGCAATGACCAAGTTGGTTCTGAGCACTTGCATTCCCCTGGATGGCGGCCTTGATGAACCACTCGACAGCCTTGACATGGTCTTGAGTGGCACCGTTTCCATCACGGTAACATATTCCAAGCATGAACTGAGCATTTGCATTCCCCTGGTTGGCTGCTTTCGTATACCACTCGACAGCCTTGGCATAGTCCTGGGCGACACCTTGACCGTTGTAGTAGCAGCTGCCGAGGTTGACCTGACCTAACACATGTCCCGTATTCGCAGCCTTGGTGAGCAATACTATGGCTTTGGCATGGTCCTGGGGGACTCCCTGACCTTCAAGATATTGGAGTCCAAGGCTTCGAATTGCATTTACGTCACTGCCTTCTGCCGATCTGCGATACCATTCGACGGACATGATGTGGTCCTGAGGAACACCAAAACCCTCCAGGTAGCAGTCAGCCAGCACGTACTGACTGATGCTGTAGCCTTGATTGGCCAGTTCGTGCAGGATTCCAACAGCCAATTCTTGGTCTTTCTTTGTTCCAAAACCTCCGAGCATGCATCTTGCGACGAGGTGTCTGCAGAACCAATCGTCCTCAGCACCGAATTGGCAGAGTCGGAAGAACTTCGCTGCTATGGGCGAAGACAATTCAATCTTGCCATCACCATGAATGAAAGCCTGTCCGAAAGGAAACTCTGGTGTTTTGCTCTTGAGAAAGAATTGGTTGGCCTGGGGCTCATCTTGCTGTGTTCCGCGGCCGAGGTAATAACACCAACCCATCATGAATGTTGCGATGGGCTTCATGATTGCGTCAGACGACTGGTTGTGGACCAGCTGCCAGTAGGCGAAGGCCTCAGTGTCACTCTTGGTGATGCCGATGCCAGCAAAGTGCAGCCAGCCGAGCTGAAAGGCGGCTTCGAGGTTTCCAGAATCAGCAGCAGCCTGATACAGTTCGGCGGCAGTGGTCCAGGCAGGGTCATTCGCTGCCTTACCATCAGAGACCATGCGGGCCGCAGTGAGATGAGATTCTGCGTCGCCGCGCCGAATGCTCATGACTACTGCCCTTGGGATACCAAGATTGCCCAGTCGTTGTGCCAACGTTTGGCTCTCCGACGAGAGGGAAGAGTCAGCGGTATGCTGTTGCGAGCTTGGTTGGGGTCTATCGCTGTGAGGAGTTGGAGCTGGAGAAACGCTCAAGTCCTGGAGTCGGGTCGACAGGGCCAAATCCGATGGAGAACGGGCTGCTCCCAAAGTTTGTGGATGGATATCCTTGTAGTCACTGAGGCTCAGGACAATGTCCTTGAATGCGGGACGCATGGCGGGATCTTGATGCCAGCAGGCTTCGATGAGTGACCAAATATCTCCGGGGATGCCATCGAGTCGCTTGGGGCGCTTTCCCTTCTCGACCAGCCGCTCGATCGCTCGGCTTCTCAATGCTTGACCATCGACGGAAATCCAAACTGGACTAGCGTTGGTCAGGGCTTCGTACATGGTGATGGCGAAGGCATAGACATCCGTCTTGATCGTGGTGCCAGACGGATTCTCGTCGTCGAGCATCTCGGGAGCCATGTATCCCTCAGTGCCACCAGTCGAACCGCCGTTTCGATTGTGATTCATCGAGGCCGAGGTGTGCTTGGTTCTGGACAAGCCAAAGTCGGTGACGATGGCCTGGAAGGATTTGTCCAAGAGGATGTTTGCTGCCTTGAGGTCGCCGTGGATGATTCTTCTGGCGTGCAGATAGGCCAGGGCCGACGCAACCTGGTACAGAAGACTGAGTTTCTCCTCGAGAGAAATGTTGTTATTGGCCACATAGTCACGAAGCGTGCCGTTTGGCATGAACGGAGAGACCATGAAAGGAGTGATCTTTTCACCGGCGTCGCCCTTGTCGCAGGCTCCGAGGAGTGGGAGGACGTGGGGGTGGCTGAGATTCTGCCAAACCCCAATCTCATGGTGATAGCTGGCGAGCTCGGGGTCGTTTGGAGCGCCGAGGAGTTGCTTGATGGCGACTTGGGTGCCAAAGTAGCTGCCAGTGAATACCTCACCAAACCCGCCACGGCCGATGGGGCTGGCTGAGCGGTCGGTGATGTCGCTGGGCGATATGTACCAGGACGGTCTGTCCTGGGGCTGGTGGACAAAGGGTTTGCTGGTCATCCGGAAGGAGATGGATGGATGTGGGGTGCAAGGAGGAGCGGTAGAAGGCGGGGATTTTCGGCTTGGTCAGAAAGCCCTTGTCAGAGTGACTCCTGCGGCACAGGCAGCACGGCCAGGACACAAGCGCGCACAGGAACGTGTTGTTTGTGCTGCGCGTACACGTGGCATTTGCGCAGCAGCTCGATCGGGGCAACACTTGAACCACCCCATATGACAGGCTGGGGGGAAACAGTGTTTGATAGACACTCGGGGATATCATATCTCCCGGACATAGTACATGATGCCAGATCATATCAAACACTCGGCCAACAACGGCTGAGTGGATCAGATCATCCCCTTGGGTATCTGCCCTATGATGTCAGTCGAAGACTCGATTACCTTGCGGCTGGGCCCATCACTGGATCCAGCCAAGTTCCTGGTTTGGTGACCGTGCCACTCCCATTCCATTCCACCCATCTCGCCTCATCTCATCGCCTGGACATCATCACTGCACTCTCCTCACATCCTAGTCTGTTGCATCATTCAGCCAACATGGCTCGATTGGCCATAGACGACCACAACCCTGACATCGTCACCATCATATGTTGCAACGACGGTTTCCAGCTTGCCCTCGACCACAACACCATCAAGATCTTGCTCAGAGTATGCAAACGAGCCCGACCCCTCCTGAGCTCCAAGATGCCTCGCTTCCACCGCTGGTGTCAGAGCATGGAGCTACTCAATCTGGAAGGACACCTGCGAATCGGTCTCACACCGAGCGACCAGATCGCCCTCTCGCTACACTTCGAGGATCAGGCTGCAGCCGACCGATCCTGGCTCGTTGCTCAAGCAGAGCAGGGCAATGCTGTGGTCTCCTACTTCCTGGCAAGGACCCTCCAAGTTGAATTCGCTGGCCGGCAGTTTGTGAGGGCGTCCGAACGGGAGGCCACTCATAGTCAAATCTTCCACCATCTGAAGCGGGCAGCCAAGGCAAGCCATTCCATGGCCCAGTTCCATCTTGCAGAATGCTATCGCAACCGACTCGGGGTCGACCAAGATCACAACAAAGCCGCCGAGTTGTATCGCAGTCTTGCCGATTGTGGGATCCCTCAGGCCCAAATTGCCCTCGGTCGATGCTACGAGAATGGTGAAGGTGTCGATCAAGACTTTGACGTAGCCATCGAGTGGTATTCCAAGGCCATAGACCAAGGCGGACAAGACGGTCGACTTCACATCGTATTCCTCCGAGGATGGCTCTCGTTCATTGGCCACAGCGTCGAACAGAGCGACGTTAATGCGCTCAACCACTGGCAGGAAGTCAGCACCCAGTCCACCGATCCGATCATCAAACCCATCGCAACTCACATGGTCGGATGGATGCACTACCTTGGCCGAGGAACCGTACGCGACGAGCCAAGGGTGTCAGGATCATCCGAGAGAACGAATCGGAAGATTTCCCACTCGGGGAGGATGAGTGTCTGGCATCGATTTGGCACAACATCAACTCTGAATCACCCGCATTTCGCAAGTTCTTCCAGTTTTGCCAGATGGGATCAGACCAAGACTGGCTGTGTAGTCATCTGATGGCTGTGTGTTTGTTGCTTAGAGATGGAACCAAGGAGGAGCAGAAGAAATCAGCGGGTACCTTGGAACAGCTCGCCAACGACGGCCACAGCGACAGCCAGTTCTGGATCGGAATGTGTTACCACTTTGGCTGGGGAGCATCGGAGGATTACGAGAAGTCATTCGAGTGGTTCAGCAAGTCCGCCGACAAAGGCAACTCGTACGGGCAGTGGAGTGTTGGAGTGTGCCACTACTGGGGATACGGAGTAACCCAGAACCACGCCAAGGCATTCGAGTGGCTCCACAAGTCGGCGGAACAGGGCAATCGACAAGGACAGTACCGACTCGGTGAATGCTACAGAGATTATGAATATATGCCTGAGGACATCGACGCTGCCGTCCTCTGGCTCCGCAAGGCCGCCGACCAGGACTTCCAGCCTGCCATCGACAGCCTCAAGGAACTCGGCAAGTGGCATTGATCTCTGTGTTCGATTCTCAAGTGCCACTTCCAAATAACCATGACTCAACACTGAACATGCAAACAGCCAGAAAAAATTGCACTTTCAGCGTCTCAACGAGACACCACGATACGAAGAAGTGAACTTGCAGAGTGGATCCGATGAAGCAGTGATGTTGTATTTGACATTGAATACATCCGATATACAAATAGTGCTGCCCTCTAACAAGCCTTTGTACCAAACGGTATCCGGCAGTGGGTTAGACAACAAGCTCATGCACACCTGTTGTGGTCCTCGCTGACTCTAATGCACTGTGAACTATTACGAGTTGTCATAGCCGAGTCATTCGATTGTACTAACCGTCAATCAATGATCAGAGGCGGACGTCGGTCAAACTCGGGATTAGGGCCACTTGCCGAGTTCCTTGAGGCTGTCGATGGCAGGCTGGAAGTCCTGGTCGGCGGCCTTGCGGAGCCAGAGGACGGCAGCGTCGATGTCCTCAGGCATATATTCATAATCTCTGTAGCATTCACCGAGTCGGTACTGTCCTTGTCGATTGCCCTGTTCCGCCGACTTGTGGAGCCACTCGAATGCCTTGGCGTGGTTCTGGGTTACTCCGTATCCCCAGTAGTGGCACACTCCAACACTCCACTGCCCGTACGAGTTGCCTTTGTCGGCGGACTTGCTGAACCACTCGAATGACTTCTCGTAATCCTCCGATGCTCCCCAGCCAAAGTGGTAACACATTCCGATCCAGAACTGGCTGTCGCTGTGGCCGTCGTTGGCGAGCTGTTCCAAGGTACCCGCTGATTTCTTCTGCTCCTCCTTGGTTCCATCTCTAAGCAACAAACACACAGCCATCAGATGACTACACAGCCAGTCTTGGTCTGATCCCATCTGGCAAAACTGGAAGAACTTGCGAAATGCGGGTGATTCAGAGTTGATGTTGTGCCAAATCGATGCCAGACACTCATCCTCCCCGAGTGGGAAATCTTCCGATTCGTTCTCTCGGATGATCCTGACACCCTTGGCTCGTCGCGTACGGTTCCTCGGCCAAGGTAGTGCATCCATCCGACCATGTGAGTTGCGATGGGTTTGATGATCGGATCGGTGGACTGGGTGCTGACTTCCTGCCAGTGGTTGAGCGCATTAACGTCGCTCTGTTCGACGCTGTGGCCAATGAACGAGAGCCATCCTCGGAGGAATACGATGTGAAGTCGACCGTCTTGTCCGCCTTGGTCTATGGCCTTGGAATACCACTCGATGGCTACGTCAAAGTCTTGATCGACACCTTCACCATTCTCGTAGCATCGACCGAGGGCAATTTGGGCCTGAGGGATCCCACAATCGGCAAGACTGCGATACAACTCGGCGGCTTTGTTGTGATCTTGGTCGACCCCGAGTCGGTTGCGATAGCAGTCAGCCAAGTGGAACCGGGCCCTTACGTGGTTTGTGTTGGTCGCTGATGTAAGGAGTTGGAAAATCCTTTGCTTTTTGACTTCCCGCTCGGTCCATTTCATTCCACCTTGGCCGAGATCGGTTTGGAGGATCCTTGCCAGGAAGTAGGAGGCAGGAGTATTGCCCTGCTCTGCTTGAGCAACGAGCCAGGATCGGTCGGCTGCAGCCTGATCCTCGAAGTGTAGCGAGAGGGCGATCTGGTCGCTCGGTGTGAGACCGATTCGCAGGTGTCCTTCCAGATTGAGTAGCTCCATGCTCTGACACCAACGGTGGAAGCGAGGCATCTTGGAGCTCAGGAGGGGTCGGGCTCGTTTGCATACTCTGAGCAAGATCTTGATGGTGTTGTGGTCGAGGGCAAGCTGGAAACCGTCGTTGCAACATATGATGGTGACGATGTCAGGGTTGTGGTCGTCTATGGCCAATCGAGCCATGTTGGCTGAATGATGCAACAGACTAGGATGTGAGGAGAGTGCAGTGATGATGTCCAGGCGATGAGATGAGGCGAGATGGGTGGAATGGAATGGGAGTGGCACGGTCACCAAACCAGGAACTTGGCTGGATCCAGTGATGGGCCCAGCCGCAAGGTAATCGAGTCTTCGACTGACATCATAGGGCAGATACCCAAGGGGATGATCTGATCCACTCAGCCGTTGTTGGCCGAGTGTTTGATATGATCTGGCATCATGTACTATGTCCGGGAGATATGATATCCCCGAGTGTCTATCAAACACTGTTTCCCCCCAGCCTGTCATATGGGGTGGTTCAAGTGTTGCCCCGATCGAGCTGCTGCGCAAATGCCACGTGTACGCGCAGCACAAACAACACGTTCCTGTGCGCGCTTGTGTCCTGGCCGTGCTGCCTGTGCCGCAGGAGTCACTCTGACAAGGGCTTTCTGACCAAGCCGAAAATCCCCGCCTTCTACCGCTCCTCCTTGCACCCCACATCCATCCATCTCCTTCCGGATGACCAGCAAACCCTTTGTCCACCAGCCCCAGGACAGACCGTCCTGGTACATATCGCCCAGCGACATCACCGACCGCTCAGCCAGCCCCATCGGCCGTGGCGGGTTTGGTGAGGTATTCACTGGCAGCTACTTTGGCACCCAAGTCGCCATCAAGCAACTCCTCGGCGCTCCAAACGACCCCGAGCTCGCCAGCTACCACCATGAGATTGGGGTTTGGCAGAATCTCAGCCACCCCCACGTCCTCCCACTCCTCGGAGCCTGCGACAAGGGCGACGCCGGTGAAAAGATCACTCCTTTCATGGTCTCTCCGTTCATGCCAAACGGCACGCTTCGTGACTATGTGGCCAATAACAACATTTCCCTCGAGGAGAAACTCAGTCTTCTGTACCAGGTTGCGTCGGCCCTGGCCTATCTGCACGCCAGAAGAATCATCCACGGCGACCTCAAGGCAGCAAACATCCTCTTGGACAAATCCTTCCAGGCCATCGTCACCGACTTTGGCTTGTCCAGAACCAAGCACACCTCGGCCTCGATGAATCACAATCGAAACGGCGGTTCGACTGGTGGCACTGAGGGATACATGGCTCCCGAGATGCTCGACGACGAGAATCCGTCTGGCACCACGATCAAGACGGATGTCTATGCCTTCGCCATCACCATGTACGAAGCCCTGACCAACGCTAGTCCAGTTTGGATTTCCGTCGATGGTCAAGCATTGAGAAGCCGAGCGATCGAGCGGCTGGTCGAGAAGGGAAAGCGCCCCAAGCGACTCGATGGCATCCCCGGAGATATTTGGTCACTCATCGAAGCCTGCTGGCATCAAGATCCCGCCATGCGTCCCGCATTCAAGGATATTGTCCTGAGCCTCAGTGACTACAAGGATATCCATCCACAAACTTTGGGAGCAGCCCGTTCTCCATCGGATTTGGCCCTGTCGACCCGACTCCAGGACTTGAGCGTTTCTCCAGCTCCAACTCCTCACAGCGATAGACCCCAACCAAGCTCGCAACAGCATACCGCTGACTCTTCCCTCTCGTCGGAGAGCCAAACGTTGGCACAACGACTGGGCAATCTTGGTATCCCAAGGGCAGTAGTCATGAGCATTCGGCGCGGCGACGCAGAATCTCATCTCACTGCGGCCCGCATGGTCTCTGATGGTAAGGCAGCGAATGACCCTGCCTGGACCACTGCCGCCGAACTGTATCAGGCTGCTGCTGATTCTGGAAACCTCGAAGCCGCCTTTCAGCTCGGCTGGCTGCACTTTGCTGGCATCGGCATCACCAAGAGTGACACTGAGGCCTTCGCCTACTGGCAGCTGGTCCACAACCAGTCGTCTGACGCAATCATGAAGCCCATCGCAACATTCATGATGGGTTGGTGTTATTACCTCGGCCGCGGAACACAGCAAGATGAGCCCCAGGCCAACCAATTCTTTCTCAAGAGCAAAACACCAGAGTTTCCTTTCGGACAGGCTTTCATTCATGGTGATGGCAAGATTGAATTGTCTTCGCCCATAGCAGCGAAGTTCTTCCGACTCTGCCAATTCGGTGCTGAGGACGATTGGTTCTGCAGACACCTCGTCGCAAGATGCATGCTCGGAGGTTTTGGAACAAAGAAAGACCAAGAATTGGCTGTTGGAATCCTGCACGAACTGGCCAATCAAGGCTACAGCATCAGTCAGTACGTGCTGGCTGACTGCTACCTGGAGGGCTTTGGTGTTCCTCAGGACCACATCATGTCCGTCGAATGGTATCGCAGATCGGCAGAAGGCAGTGACGTAAATGCAATTCGAAGCCTTGGACTCCAATATCTTGAAGGTCAGGGAGTCCCCCAGGACCATGCCAAAGCCATAGTATTGCTCACCAAGGCTGCGAATACGGGACATGTGTTAGGTCAGGTCAACCTCGGCAGCTGCTACTACAACGGTCAAGGTGTCGCCCAGGACTATGCCAAGGCTGTCGAGTGGTATACGAAAGCAGCCAACCAGGGGAATGCAAATGCTCAGTTCATGCTTGGAATATGTTACCGTGATGGAAACGGTGCCACTCAAGACCATGTCAAGGCTGTCGAGTGGTTCATCAAGGCCGCCATCCAGGGGAATGCAAGTGCTCAGAACCAACTTGGTCATTGCTATTTTAGCGGTCAAGGTGTCACCCAGGACTATGCCAGGGCTGTCGAGTGGTTCACCAAGGCCGCCAACCAGGGTAGTACAAATGCCCAATTCAGCCTCGGTGTCCGCTACTACAAAGGTGACGGTGCCACCCAGAACTATGCGAAAGCTGTCGAGTGGTTCACCAAGGCCGCAAATCAGGGGAATGCAAGTGCCCAGGACTGGCTCGGCGACTGCTACTACAACGGCAATGGCGTTACCGAAGACCATGCCAAGGCTGTCGAGTGGTATACCAAGGCCGCCAACCAGGGGAATGCAAATGCTCAATTCGGCCTCGGTATCCGCTACTACAAAGGCGAAGGTGTCACTCAGAACTATGTGAAGGCTGTCGAGTGGTTCACTAAGGCCGCAAATCAGGGCTATGCTAATGCCCAGGACTGGCTCGGCGACTGCTACTACAACGGCAATGGCGTTACCGAAGACTATGCCAAGGCTGTCGAGTGGTATACCAAGGCCGCCAACCAGGGGAATGCAAATGCTCAACTCAGCCTCGGTATCCGCTACTGCAAAGGTGAAGGTGTCATCCAGAATTATGCCAAGGCTGTCGAGTGGTATACGAAAGCAGCCAACCAGGGGAATGCTGGTGCTCAGAACTGGCTCGGTCTCTGCTATGACAACGGTCAAGGTGTCACCCAGGATTATGGTAAGGCTGCCGAGTGGTACACCAAGGCGGCCAATCAGGGGAATGCAAGTGCCCAGTTCAACCTCGGCGTCTGTTACCGTAATGGTCAAGGCGTCACCCAGGACTATGCCAAGGCTGTCGAGTGGTATACGAAAGCCGCCAACCAGGGGAGTACAAATGCCCAATTCAGCCTCGGTGTCTGCTACTACAAAGGCGAAGGTGCCACCCAAAACTATGCGAAAGCTGTCGAGTGGTTCACCAAGGCCGCAAATCAGGGGAATGCAAGTGCGCAGGACTGGCTCGGCGACTGCTACCGTGACGGCAAGGGTGCCACCAAGAACATCGGCACTGCCCGATACTGGTATCAAAAGGCAGCTGCACAGGGCAACACTTTTGCACAAACCAGTCTCGATCGACTCGGATAGACCCTGTATTTTCCATTTTCCATCAGCTCGAGTCTGTTGAGATTTCCCAGTGAATACCGATCTCCTCGTGGCAGTCATGAGGCGTCTTCCCACACTCGGGATCGGTTTGGATATCTGCTGTTTATGATAGTTGTATGGATTTAAGACAGCCAGCCATCAGTTCCGTATTTTGCCCAGCAGTGGGTGAACAAGCATGCCCATGCACCCCTGTTGTGGCTCTCGTCAACTCTTCAGTTCATACGGCGAGCCATTCGGGGGGGGGCGTACTGCTTTTGAGAGGGTGTAGAGGGACAAGCATGTCTCCAGGTCCCGCTCGGGGATTCGTTCGGCTGGGTCATGGGAAGCCAAAGTACGGGACATTCTCAAAATATCTGATTGCGGATTTTGTCGTTGTCGGATCATTCGATGTCTCCACGGGTCCGTCAGCGTAAGGTTGTGATGGGACACCACGGGCTTGTGGAGTGAAGGTATTGAATATAAAACATAACATCACTCAGCGATCGTTGCTTCATTGGAACCACGCTCTAAAACACTGTTTGACGTCTCCGTGACTGGGATGGGTGTTGACATCCTGGTTACTTGACTGTTCTGATTACCTCTGCATTGTTGCAGCTTTTTTGTTTGGATATGATGCACTCATGTGAAATCGGGGATCAATGCCACTCGCCGAGCTCCTTGAGTCTCTCGATGGCGTTTTTGTGTCCCTGGTCGGCGGACTTGTGGTACCAGAGGACGGCAGTGTCGATGTCTTCAGGTACCCCTTCGCCATGTTTGTAGCATCTACCGATAGAATCTTGTCCGTATCGATTTCCCTGCTCGGCCGATCTGCGATACCACTCGAATGCTTTGGCAAAGTCCTTGGTTACTCCGTATCCCCAGTAGTAGCATACACCAGTCATCCACTGCCCGTACGAATTGCCTTGGTCGGCCGATTTGCTGTACCACTCGAATGCCGTAATTCGGTCCTCCAATACTCCCAGGCCCCAGTGGAGGTATTTTCCGATCCGCAACTGGCTGTCGCTGTGGCCGTCGTTGGCGAGCTGCTCAAAGACACAAGCTGCCTTCATCCGGTCCTGGGTAGTGCCGAAACCATGGTGCAGACACAGAGCCATGAAGTGCTTGCAGAGCCAGTCACGATCTGATCCCAACTGGCAAAACTGGAAGAGCTTGCGGGCAACGGGCGAGGTGGAGTTGGCATCACCGTATGCAGCCAGACTCTCGGACTCTCCGAGCTTGAAACGGTCCGACTTGTTCTCTCGGATGATCCTGACACCCCTTGGCTCGTCGCGTACGGTTCCTCGGCCAAGGTAGTGCATCCATCCGACCATGTGAGTTGCGATGGGTTTGATGATCGGATCGGTGGACTGGGTGCTGACTTCCTGCCAGTGGTTGAGCGCATTAACGTCGCTCTGTTCGACATCATGGCCGATGAACGAGAGCCACCCTTGGAGGAACCCGATATGGAGCCGGCCGCCTTCGTTGGCTTGATCTGCTGCCTTGGAATACCACTCGATCGCGGTGGTGAAGCTCTGATCGACACCTTCACCACTCTCGTAGCATTGACCGAGGGCGACTTGAGCCTGAGATATTCCGTGATCTGCAAGTCTGCGATACAGTTCCACGGCCTTGGTGAAGTCTTGTTTGACGCCGCGACCGTTGAGATAGCATTCTGCAAGATGGAACTGGGCCATGGAATGGCTTGCCTTGGCTGCCCGCTTCAGATGGTGGAAGATTTGCTGATGCTTGGCATTCTCTTCAAGCTCATCGTCATCGTCTGCTTCTGTGTCGTTCTCAGATTGCAACACCCGAGCAAGGAGATACGAGACCGGTGCGTTTCCTTGGTCTGCTTGAGCAACGAGCCAGGATCGGTCGGCTGCAGCCTGATCCTCGAAGTGTAGCGAGAGGGCGATCTGGTCGCTCGGTGTGAGACCGATTCGCAGGTGTCCTTCCAGATTGAGTAGCTCCATGCTCTGACACCAGCGGTGGAAGCGAGGCATCTTGGAGCTCAGGAGGGGTCGGGCTCGTTTGCATACTCTGAGCAGGATCTTGATGGTGTTGTGGTCGAGGGCAAGCTGGAAACCGTCGTTGCAGCATATGATGGTGAATCTATCTGGGTAGTGTTCATCGATGGCCGGGTGAGCCATGTTGGCTGAATGATGCAACAGACTAGGATGTGAGGAGAGTGCAGTGATGATGTCCAGGCGAGATGGGTGGAATGGAATGAGAGTGGCACAGTCACGAAACCAGGATCGCATTGGATCCATGGATCGAGTGCCAGTCAACCAATGCTTGTCACCCGCATTCCCACACATCCAGCATCTGTCATTACCACCAGCGTTAGATATCGATTGGTTTGGCGGCAACTCACACTCAGACATGCAACGCCGTCCTCCATCGACAACTGTCATGATGATCACCATCAGGGCCCACAGATCCAATGCCGAGACAGAGATGGGGTTGGGAATCGAGACAGCGACACAGAGGAGATACACAGATCTTCCGATGTGCCCAACTGGACTCAGCTGGTCTGGACGTGGTGAGTAGTGAGCGAGTGGTGAGTGAGTGGTTGTCGATGGACGACATCATTGCCTTGATGTGCGAACCAAGCACAAATACAATGCACACAGCCGCATGTCAGCTTTGGGGAAGCTACTGCCCGAATGATCCACAAAGTACTCTGCCCATATCATATGCATGATCACACCGAGTCCGTATGCTCACCCACAATCAAGACTGCATCAAAACCCGTCGCGCAACCTCCAGAGAAGAACATCAAGGTGTGCTTGTGTTGGCAGGGAAATACGGATGGCAGGGAAATACTGATGGTAGAGAAACACTGATGGCAGGGAAACCTGATGGCATGGAAATGTGAATGGCCAAAGAGTTCCGGTGCCTCGAGGCCATCAGACAAGACTCTAACGAGGACCATCAAGACGCTCATCCGACCTACGATGGAGAATGGACTGATCCTCGAGACCCTCGAGACCCTCGAGATCCTCAGCAAGCGGCAGGCGGTAGCACTGTGGGTCGAGCGAGGATCAAAAGTGGAGAGGTGCTACTGCAGCATGATAGCGAGTTGAGTACAGGCACCGCTCTGACCATCCATAGGGAATGTACAGACCCTGCAAGCAGTGCACCAAGGTCGAGGAGATCTTTGCATCGCTGAGCCTCGACCACTCCCCGAGCTGTGTTGATGGGGATGATTGAATGCAACAGGTGAATGTTTCGTCGAAGATCCGAAACTCGGATATCCCGGTTGGAACAAGAGCAATCACGAAAGCGTCGGGACAGTCGACAAGCTGCTCGACCTGACGACTGCGACTGGCTGCTGCGATCGGTTACAACGAACGACGTGAGATGCAGATATCCGATCGACAACACCGAATGTCAAAACATTGTTGAGGACACTTGGAAGAGTGTTCGGGTTACTCGTCATCATCAATGGTGGACGGAAACGTCCGAGACGACAGGAGCAGAGTCAAGCCGAGCACGATGGAAAGCGACAAGCTTGTACTTGTGTGGCTGATTGACATTTATCATACCTTCACGACTGTGATTTGCAAGCACAGACGAGGTATAGATGTCCCTCAGCTTGAATAGAGAAAATTACAAGCAAGCTAAAATAAAACTATCCCCCCCCCAGTTCGAGGTTCGGTGCCACGCCCCATTCCCCATGCCAGTCATAATCAATAGCCGAAAAATCACACGTCCCAGGCGGGCTCTCAAAAGTCAACAGGAGGCCATGACCTGAGCCACGGAACAGCAGATGTCCAAAAACAAGAGCAAAATAACGACCACACCAGGGGTCGAACCTGGAATCTCTTGATTCGTAGTCAAGCGCCTTATCCATTTGGCCATGCGGCCGATTTCTTGGAAAGGTCGAAAAAAATTGAGATCATAATGGCAAATTTATCAACCTCAACCGCCATGCCGCTCCATCACCGCCGCATCATACTGCCCAGCGCTAATCTCCACCCTCGACATTTGAATTGCTGTTTATATATATATTGTAATTCTATTCGTGCCACGCTGCGAAACACAATGGCGGCACCTGGTCGTCAAAATGGAGTATTTACTTGGCCTAGCGCCGAGTCATCCAGGGATAGCGGTTCCAAGGAGCCTCATATGGTCCGGCTGTTCCATGCTCCAATATTTGCGCCGCAAGTTGTGAGCGAGTCAGATCATGCCGATAAATTTCCCAGCAACCACAGCCGGATTTATCCGTAGCTCTGCCGAGCAAATCATGCGCGCTGAAAGTGTGAGACAAGCTTTACCGTCATCGCTTGTTCCAAAAGAATCTATTTGAACGCCGTATTCGTGTTGGAGGAGTGGTCATTCTCGTTCATAGGACTATTGAAACACGCTGACAAGCCCAATCAGGTGACGATATCAACAGGCCCTCCGTATTGCCTCGGGCAGTATCGATGGGTACGACGGCCGAGCGACATCACAGCCTTCCAAATAAAAGAAATAATGCGCACGGACGAGTGAGGAACAGGTGTGATGGAGGACACACACTTAAATGTTGGTATGACATGACAAGACCGACAATCGGAATCAGAGTCAGAATCACAATACGGCGAGACAAAAAGTGCATGGTCCGGGAATCGAACCCGGGTCTGCCGCGTGGCAGGCGGCAATTCTACCACTGGACCAACCATGCTTGAATGATAAGGTTATTCCAATATGCTATATGAATACAGTAATGCTTGACGCCGCAAACGCAGCCACCAGCTATTCTTTCGACACCACAACCACTGCCATCAGCATTTCATTCGACACCGCAACCACTGAAACCACGGCAACCACTGCTACCACTGCTACCACTGCTACCACTGCTACCACTGCTACCACGGCAATCATTGCAACCACTGCAACCACTGCAACCACTGCTACCATTGCTACCATTGCAACCACTGCAACCACTGCTATCCACCAAAGGCCGAAATTTGCGGCATGTTGCCCAATTCAACATGGTCACAGTGCCAGATGGGTAGCGATCGTTTCAACTTATGGCTCTGGATCCATTTATTCTTCGCATGATAATAATGCATCCCTGTCAACGCTGGCCTCCAAAAACCGAACTTTGGATAATATAAGGGATTTGCTCTCGACATTCGCGTCTGTATATCAACGACTCACTTGCCTCTGAGTCACTGGTGTTGGCTTTTGGAGGCTCCAAATGTGATATCTTATTGTCTTCACCACGGTTGCCATTTCGAAAGATCCGTTTGCAAAGGAGCGACCATGTCAAGTATCTCATGTCCAGTCAAGTACTACAAGACCTGAGAAATCATATCTTTAGATGTGATTTCGGAATTGAATATCCACCGCAGCTCATTCGAGGCGTGGCCGCTATTCGTTTGAGGTGTCTCTGTTCAAAGTTATCCCTCAAACAAAGCACCATACGGTCAACAAGATATCGGGACATTGCGGGAGATCTGTTAGGGAAGATTAGGGAGAAACAGCAAGCCTGTATACGTGAAGAGATATATTATGATGAAGGAACAAGAATATCCTCGAACAAGGAGTAATACTGGTTTGGGGTGAGCATGGGCTTTATAGGAAGATATCCTGTCGTGGCGCGCGCGGTTCAGGGCGCGCCGGATATGTTCCCGCCAACGTTGGTTCATAACAAGATCGCCCTTGTACGATTGTATGATTGATATGGAGTGCTGACCTGGGTGATCATACGTGCATGGTTGATATCGATCGGCTCCATCACATCTCGCGTCTGGGGACAGGTAACGGATGATCAAGCGGATGGCCAAGCGGATGGTCAAGCGGATGGCCAAACGGATGGACAAACGAAGTACATGCGATTTTACACTCTGGATGTCCTTTCCCAGATATTGACCATGTATAATCTTCAATCGAAGTTGTACAATTTACTACGTGGCTGAAGCGGGCGCGGAAATATGTGTCTGTGTAATGCGCAGTATTCTCGTCGGATTTACGGATCAATGTTCAGCTTCGAAAAATGGCAGCTTGTGCCTGCGGCCGAAGAGTGGTCGCAAAGCTGTGTCGGCTCGGCCGCTCCCTGTGGGCAAGTGGAGAAGGCATCCGTGAGCAGAAATGGGGTGTTTATTTATTCGGTATATACTGATGTCGCATTGTAGACAGAGTTGATCACTTGCGCGGGAGAATGGGTTAAAGTACACAGCGCATTTTGGCTTTGAGCGGACAGCAATGAATTGCAGTGGTTGCCGTAGTTGCCGTAGTTGCCGTAGTTGCCGTAGTTGCCGTAGTTGCCGTAGTTGCCGTAGTTGCCGTGGTTGCCGTGGTTGCCGTGGTTGCCGTGGTAACAGTGGTAGCAATGATTGCCGTGGTTGCGGTGTCGAATGAAATGCTGATGGCAGTGGTTGTGGTGTCGAATGAGTGGCTCATGGCTGCGTTTGCGGCGTCAAGCATTGCTGTATTCATATAGCATATTGGAATAACCTTATCATCCAAGCATGGTTGGTCCAGTCAATAGGTGGGTCTTTATTAAAGACTTTGCCTTAGCGTCCCTTTTGGGCTCTGGCACTGGGTGTTGGCTTTGCCAACCGGGACATTTGGGTCGTCGGTGTACAGCTCTCTATCCCATGGGGCCTGTTTGCGGAGGGACGGCGATGTCAAGTTTTGCCGAACTCATCCATTCAGTGACAGTTTGGGACTCTAGCTCCGGCTTCCCTGTCCAAGTGTCTGCTCATGCGTCTGGGAGGGTTTCTTTCTCAGGTACTTGTTTGCTGCGATTGGTCAGCCCGAGGGGCCGCTGTCCACGACAGACATTTGGTTGCGATGTCATCCAGCACCGCCACGACATCCAGCCAGATCGCTGGTCTGTTGTTCAGTACTCGGCTGCGCTTGGCACGCCATCTTCTCTGTTTTTCAGGATCGGTGGTGAGTGGTCTTGTTGGCACTCGAGCCAACTTGGGGAGTGCGTCGATTGCAAGGTCGATGTAGGTGATGCCTTCGGGGATCGATGTGGGGTGAACATATTTCTCGAGTCGGTCCTTGGCTCGGACACATTCTGCTGCATGTTTTCTGTTGACATACACCTTGGGGCCGTTGGGTCCGGTCTTTTTGCACTCCTTGTCGGGTTTAGGTGGGAAACACCCGACTCGCCACAGGAGCATTCTCCTTGCTTGGGC